TCTTTTGCGAACTGTCATTGGCTTTAAAAATAAAAAGCACGTAAGATTTTTGTATCAGTTTGTGTTTTACATCCATTGGCACAGTTAGAATATACCACCAATTTACCCTCAACCTTGGAAAAAATTGCACATCTGCTCCAAAACAATTTCGAAAATTTAAAAGGATTTGCACTGAAAATAACTTCCAAATTAATCATAACAAACCGTTTCGAGGTTGTGTATGCCTTATAGCCTAAAAATATAATCCAAATGAAATCGAAGATTCAACAAATTTTCTCAACGTTTTTTTCTCACCTAGAATTTACACGCCATGGTGATATTTGGAACTCTTTAGTTAATGCTCTGAGTTCGAGTTATCGCCGGTGTTTATTTAATAAATGCCATTAAATGGTTAGATAAAATAACTTGTTTCTTTTAATTGATAAAATAATTATTTTTTTCATTACTGAGATTTTAGGATAACCCGAAAATAAGCCTTTATTTTTATTTGCGTTATGGTTATAGTTAAAAGTAAACATGCTTTCTATATATTTTTTACACTTGCATTTGATAATGATAAATAAATAACCCTAATTGTTTTTACCCGCAATGTATGAATGACAGGAAAACTGACTTCATAAAGTAACTTCTATAATTAGTTTGTTACGGACTAGTTAATAATTTAAAGAATATACAAAACAACTTTATCAACTGAGAGCACCTGCTGCTTCCATATTGAAACAGAAGAAAAAGTTTGCCGATTTAAGCATTCGAAAGAGAAAAAAAATATTGATAATTTCCCTGTTGCCAAACAATCCAATCAAACAATCAAGCCAATCCTTTATTTTGGGGGGGTCAAGATATTTTTAAAACAGATATAAAATATGACTTTGTCAATAATTTCATATATCCGCTACTGGTGATCTTGTGGTCTGGTCCAAAGTGGTGCTTTTAAATTTCTGTCAAAATGAGAAACAATAAGTATGGTTTTATTTGGCTATTCTGCATGATGTATTTTTGGAAAGGTAAGTTAATTTTACTTAAATAATTAGCATAAGAATTTATTAGTATATACGTTCATCTTGCTTGGAATTCCAGAATAAAATCGGAAAACTCATGATCAATTCTCGAATAAAAAGCATACATTAAATTACCATTATATAAAGAAAGAAACAGAAAAATCCTGTGAAATATACTAAGACACATCTAAAATTTGATATGAATAATTTTTTTTTAAAATACTTTAGAAATAGTGTTAAGCTTTTTATAATTAAAAAATTAGCAAACATCTTAATCAGCTTCTGATCAAAAGCTTCGTGAGATAGCGACCGGAAATGTATGTTTTACACCATACGCACAGAATGAATCATTGAAGAGATTGGCATCCGACCGTTTGACCTCAAAATCAAATTGTTTTTTTTTTAAAATTGTATTGAAAACATAGTCTTACATGTAAGTATAATTATCAAATCATCTAGGAGACTAAAATCCCAGATTCAGGTTTAAAATATATATTGCTACATGAAGAGGAGAAGTTGCTGATAGAAATTAAAGGTTAAATAATCATTTTTGTCTGATATCAATTTGTTATGATACGATTAACGTATTTCCTAGTACAAAATCCAAACATGAAACAGTTTCTATGGAGAGAGGCAGTATACTGTTAAATATAGTTTATAACCTACGGCAAAATCGTCTTTTCTCTTTCAGGGAAAAATTGAAATATGACATCAGACATATATAAAAATTATCAATACCATCAAATATGCTATTACTGTAGATTACTAAATTTTTGCAACACCTTGTTTTCGCAACATAGTCATTGACTCTTTAATAACAAGACAAAATATTGTTATTATTGTTCTATATAATCATAGAGAATACTATTATAAACGAAAATGAAATTTTCACGAGAATACTGTCCCAGGTAATTACGCGAGAAAGAGTTGGCGCAAATTAAAAGTTATTAACAGTATATGGCCTATTCACTCTTTACTTAATTTACATACATGTAATACATATTTGTTAGGATATTATTACTCAGTCTGAACTTTTAATAAAGATCAGTTAAAACCGCAAACTTAACACCATTTTTACAGTTCATCTTTTTTTAACAATTTTAAATTAATCATTACAAATTACGCAGGTGTGTTAAAGAAACGTTCAGAATATTCTAACTTGACTAAATCAGTGATACATTATGACGTTGCAGTAGGAGAGATAACTTCAATTTTCGAAAAAAAAGTTTTCATAATACTGGTATTTATAGATGTTATTTAACTCCGGAAAATGAATAGAAAAACGAAAGTATTAACAAAAAATAAATACTTTTAGTTGCTTCATCTGCCACAGGAAGTAAAATCTCCGACCGACGATGTCAAAAATGTATAACAAGAAACTTGGAAATTGATCATGATGTGTAAAGAGAATTAGGCTTAGACAACATGTACAAATATAGCGAATTTTATGTTTCAAATGAAGTGAAAGTAAATTAAACCGGTATATTTTTTTTCATTGATTGTATTCTCTATTGAAGACAGTCGACTGTTTACGTTTCCCGATACAGGCCTTTTGTCTGTCATTCGTGCCAACAATAATACAAAAGAACAACTTTAAAACATACAATTTGTACCGATCAAAAGCTTGTCTTCTAAACACTTGGAAAGTGGTGCTAGAATCCCGAAGTAAGCACAGTTTGAAGAAATATTTCGGATTATCTGTATAACAATCAATTTCAAGCTTTAAGGTAATGTGACAAATAATTATTTTACCGATAGGACATTGGGATTCTAGCAGTAATTTTAAAAGATATAATAGATGTTTTCTTAACAATATTATTTACTAAAAAATCATTAAACTCCAGGTTACTGTCCTTTTGTTAGCTGTTTTAAAATTAAATTTCAATTCGCTATTATTACAAGTCAAGTGATGGCATGGTGTGTTTTTTTTTGCCTCATACATTATTTTGTCTTTATGCAATATTTAATAATACGAATTGTTAACGTTTCATCAGCGGCGTTGATAAATTATCAGACTTAATTTTCTTTACAAAGTCTTAATTTTCCGAAAAATTATTTGAATGCTTCATTTAACATTCCGACGTATATAACACTCGATTTAAAATCACAAATTAATAGAGAAACAAGCTTTAAGGGAGACTAATATACATGCAGTGGAAAAAAAAACTAGCCTCTCATATTTTAGAGTATCCTCTGTCTTTATATGCTACAAGTATATGAAAAAGTTTTCAATGATATTTCAAAACAATTTCGACACATTAAAATAAAATACTTTAAGAAGAAATGAAGATTTACTAAAGAGGTACAGAGGTAAAAGTTACATTGTTTTATGCCTGAAAATCTCACATTTTGACGAATATTGCAAAATTCTTTTCTGATTACTTCAATCTATATGATACGTCCAACCAATCAGCGCAAAGGTCAGAAAAGGTTTGAAACATAAAAAAAATTAATACCCATTGAAAAAAAAATAATCGCTTGGATTTTTTACACCAAAGATTATGCAAGGTCACAAAATAATTTATGAGCATTAATTTGTATGATTTGTTCATGGATTCACTACATTACGAAATATAAAACATACATGTATCTATTGCTTTGATTTCATCCTCTAAATATAATTAAGATTAAAATGAATACCCAAGAAATACAATTTCAGTGCAGATAGGTCAAGTTTATTATGGTTTTGTTCAATAAGAGGTATACTGCCCCCATCTGATCCCAAGACGACCGTGAACTTAATACCAATTGTACGTTACTGAATTCGTGTTACGATTTAATTTCAAATATTACCAAACCTTTGATTTTGAGTAAATTACTTTTCTTCTGAAACATATAATTCTAATCAAATGTAAATAATTACAATTGATAAAAGTTTTAATATACCTTGCAAGATATTCTTCTTTCTAAAATGCATGCATTAAAACACTGAACTAAAAAAAACAACAACAATATCCAAATCATTAACTAATATTTCAATATTAATTCGAATGAATATTAGAAAACTTGTTGATATCTCTAGTTTTTACCTGAGTACGGTCGGTATAACCCCCTCCCCTTTTTCAAAAATATAGGTATAGGTCCTAATGTGATAATTTTTCATTTTTATAATTTTTTTATTGATGCTTTGTTAATCATGTTTTTTTTCATTTTTAAAGTCATTTATCAAAATTTAGTTCAAATAAAATCTTGGATGGACCAACAATTAACAATTAAATAACGATCATTTTTCAAAGTTCCCTTGCAAATTTTAAAATGTGCCATTTCCCAAATGCAATGCAAAATTTTATCGCTACGCGCTGCTCCGTGACGTCCTCTAACTCCATACACTACATTGTAATTCTTGTTAAAATTATTGTAAAACTTGAAATATTTAATTAAACATTGTTTTTATACCATTTTGACTGCGGATAACTCCTCTGTGCACCTTATCAAAACAGAGGTTCATGGCGGATGTGTTTTGGTCGACGAAGGACGCTTCTTTTGAATCTTTTCCTACACACGTGTTTTTATTTCTCGGGTTCTCAGTTGTCCGTATCTTGCTCTGTTTTCAATTAGTTTTCTTTACTATACTTTTGAAAAAAATCACTGTTTGTTCATCTCACATTTTACATACTTATGCTATCTGTAATAGGAACATTGTCTTATACATTGTTAAACAGATATCGTGAAGCATTTGGAGAAAATTAATACCGATTTTCACTCACGTTCTTTTGATTTGATTTCAAAATCCCCGCTACTGACATGCATTTAATGTCAGATAGCAACGATATAAATTTTGCATGGTGAGAACTGGGAAATGTATCAATACTTGATTGGCTATATATCTGTACGGAAGGGTAAATAATCATATTAAAATATAAAGGAACATTTCTTTATGAGTTTAATAAAAAAAAAGAATTGCATCGAAATTTTTATCACTTGCATTTCAAAAAAGGATTCCAGTTCCGAAAATTTAAAATTGTTTGAGAAATTTCATTGTTATTTTCTTATGTTTATTTGATGGTTGTAGCGTGGAGAATTGAAACACTTTATATAAGCGACTGGTTTGATGTTACTGTAAATGGAACAAGCCCTTTTCAGATAAATCACTATTTAAACGAAATGCCAGCAAAGGTTGACGTACAGGTTAAGGTTGTACATGGAGGTCAATCATATATATTTCCTGGTATTGGGTCAACACAGCGGGATGATGACATAGCATCGGAATATGGGGGCGTGGCTTCCTTATATGATTCACAGCATGTCAAGCTGTTTGTTCCGGTTGCAAAAAAGTTCACCAATGGTTTTGGACGAATCATTACGACAGGTAAGGAAAGGCTTTTGGTTTATAGTTCATGTCTCTTTTAATTTAAAAAAAATCAATAAATTAGTAAATTTATTGAATGGGGATATTAACATTGATTCTATAGTGCTTAAAGATTTGGAAAAAATAACTATAGTTGGAATCAATTAAATAATATTTCTAGAGGGAGTTTAAGACTTATAGACAATTGATTTCTATGAATCAAGGAAAGATTACATTTTTAGCCTAAATGATTAGGATATTACTTTTCTTTTTTGGACTCTCAGTAAGTTAGTACTATTGTGACCTATATTTTTTCTGATAAGTTGAGAATAGGATCTGATCGAGAAGTCGAATAAATATACAAGTTAAGGAGGCTAGGGGGTCAACAAATTTATTTTTTTTATTAACCACCAGATATAACTTAAATTTTGGGATATGATATCTTAAGCTGTCAACTATCATTTGGCAAAGAAAAATTTCATAAATTTTAGATTTAAAATTTGATCATTTTATTATATCTTTATATGGAGCTCTCCTTCTAAAGAAGATCATAATATCTAAAAATGGCCACGACCACCCAGACTCTTTAAGATATTGATCAGACAAATTGACACTATTATCTGACAAGTCGAATTGTCAGAACATTATGTCAATCTTTCAGATAAATATGTCGATTTGTCATGATCAGATAATATTTCGACTTTTCAGATATTTTGTTCATACAGAAATAAGAAATAAGTTTTTAAAGATTGTCCTCCTGTTTCTTAGGATTTTTTTTCGAGTTGACTCATTTTGTCTCAATTGCAAAATATCATGAAGAGATTCTATGCTTTTAAAGTTGGATTTAACCGACTAGTTCGACCAGTTCACAGCCCATGTTTTTATTTATTAAACGGTCACATTGCTCTCCTTGTATTCCCTCTGTTTTTGTACCTTGTATAAAGTTTAAATTGGTTGTTGAGGATTAATCACTGAGTAAATTACAGAGAACCCGAAAGAAAATAAATAATAGGCAAAATACACAGGAATTAAAGGCCCCTTAACCCCAGAAAAAATCTTTATCATTATACTATTATTACCTGACAATAAGTTTGATATATAAAATATGTTTAGCAGCTTTTACCGTTTTAATAGGTGGTGGGTCATACAGTGGTCCATTTCATGGCACGTTTGTTACTGGTAAAGTCAGAATCAGGGTTTGGAAATTATCTGAATTGCCCACTCCCATTTTTTCAATTACATCAGGATTATCAATATCCACAGGTATGTCAATTATAAAAAAAAAAATAAGTAAATTTAACTGAATACGATGCTTCCTTGGCGGGAATATTATTTACTTTAATAAAAATATGTATACATATATTAATTTTATCTCTCTCACAGGTTCTCCTTATCAACAAGTGACAGCTTGTTTTGGAGCTAACCCTGATTTAGTTATAGTCCAGTTAGTGTTTAATGACGGATACGTTACAGAGGGAACAGGTACGTTAAAATAAGATAGTACATGGTGCTATTAACATAATCGAACAAATATATATCTATTTTTAATCGATATAAAGTCGCTTTAGATAACCCTATGAGACACCCATAGTAAACGTCTTTGAAAATTCCCTTCTCTTTTCAAACAAAATTTCCAAATCTTCTTTTTTAGTCCAAAAATTGAAAAAAAAAATCTGGTCAATATTTTAGTTTGTTGATTCCACTTTTTGAACAATAGTATAACTCTGCATACATGTTGTAATTGACCTGTTCAAAGAATTTAAACAGTGTTGCATTAAAAAAAAAACATATTTGAAATTTTAAAAATGGACAAAGGTCTTAAAATTTGTTTCAAAGTTTGGAGATAAATACTAATTTCTTTCACTGTCATTGTAGGTGTGACTCCTGTGACAGCCGATGATACTCACACAAATCATATCTGTGGAGTCATCTTTGGTGTCAATCAAGACTCCATCACGCTCTGGGCTCCAAGTAAAAATGGTGTGTGTACATTTTATGAATCTAATTTAAACTATTGTCGATATCTCTTTGCTTTTCTACGATAAATACTTGCTTTAAAATGTTGCTAATGAATGAGATATTTCTTATGTACTTAATGATATCAAATTGAAATTTTATTCCTACATCCATTATATAATTATGTTTGAAAGATTGTTTATTGGAGAGCAATGGCACTTTTTTCAGCATACAATATTAACCTCTGACAACACTATAGTGATCTTCTTCAAAATACATTTAAATACACTTTAAAATTTATAATATTAAATGACATCAAAGGAAATGTCTGCCATAGTCTGTTTAGACTACATCATCAAACAATTCTCAAACTTCATATTATATTAATTTTTTAACATTGATTAAAAATGCCTTTTTTTTTTTTTAGCAAAGGCACTTTATTTATTTTTTTTTTTTGTAAGAGAAGAAGCGATTGTTAGTCACTTGAAATATGTAAGAAGGAATTTTGGTCCTCAAAATTTATTTACTGACAATGTTGCATTAAAGATATGTAATGGTAGCCAAAGAATACCTGTGCTTAAAACTTGCAAACAAAATAACTTTTGTTTACACTATGATATATATTTATAAATGGGTCATATGGAAAACAAGAAATAAAATTAGATATGAGAATTTCTAAAAAATAACTGACTCCAGTATTAAAAATGGAAAATAATTATTATTAAAAATGTATTCAAAAATGAAACGAAATCTAATTTACTATTACAGTCACATGATTTGACAAATTTTATGGAGAAAATAAATCTGTTTCAAAATCACTTGTGATTTGAATACTCGTTTTATTGTTATTGTCAATATATTCTGTTTTGATAAACTGTATATTTATAATTTTTAAGAGACACACTAACAACACTGGTTAGTATTTCTCTAGTTTAAGATGAATGTTGAAGTAAAAAGATTATCGAATGGAAATGTAATACTAGATACAAAGTATTTATGTGAGAAGATCTTATTCATGTATTTAGGAAATTCATTCATTCTGTTCTGTGATTATATTGATTTCTTCTTGTATTATCAAAATACTCTAAATATTGATCTTGTTTAAAGCCCTAAAACATAAAAAGACGGGCATTGGAGGATGACCTGGCTCTCAATTCTAGTTATAGTGGGATTGACTTTTTTTTTTATACATAATTCCCACTGCAACAGGGATCATGCTTATATTTGTGTAAAACTAGTACTTTGATATGTATAAAAATGGTGCAAAAATGTTTTTAAATGATATATTGATGTATATGTCTGAAAATGAAACGTCAATAATGATACAAAATATCCCCCCTTCTTTTTGTATTGGATATATCTGTGATCAAATGATGGTAAAAAATGAAACCTATCCACGGAGCTCCTGGCACTCCAGATGAGGTATTACCAGAGGGCTTCTGCGGAGATTTTACCTCGATATTTTGTTGTACGTTATTGAACAAAAGGCTTGAATGTCAATAAAACTTTGCACGCGGAAACTTTATTTAAGAAATAAACAACGTTATTTAGTGAACATGGCGTTATGAATAGCAATTGCTCTGCTGGCATATTCCATGATGCGCGCTAGCGCATCATAGAAAATATGCCAGCAGAGCTATTGCTATTCATAATGCCATATTCATTAAATAATAGTTGTTTATTACTTATATTTGCATTCCTTGATGGTGTCAAGAATATCAGAGGAAATCCTGGCTTACATAAGGATGTGGCTTGTTGTCTTCAGTAAAGAAAAACACACGGCTTTAAAATTAATATACCTGATCATTGCACCTTTTCCCTAATAAATCACAAACAATTTATTTAAGAAATAAGGTATCATTTTTAAACATCTATCGGGGTATAAATACGGGTCGGTCACGAGATTAAATTCCATAAAGCCCGAAGGGCTTTATGTTGAATTTAATCTCGTACCGACCCGTATTTATAGCCCGATAGATGTTTTAAAATGATACCTTATTACTTATATTTACATTTGTGACTAATTCATACTTTACATTTGCCTGATTGTGACTTTTAACATGTGAAATGCATTAGTTTTCAAACCCAACGGCATGTATGTAATTCACTGAACGCGCGTCAGCCCTTTATGACGTCACTGAGAAATTACGTCAAACGATTATCCATACGCACATCTATGACCTCTTGACCCCATACCTGTATTTATACAGTTGTAGATACGCATTCCTTTTAGTAGTGTTATATAAGGGAAAACATTTGCAAATGTAAATATAAAGTATTAGCCTCTTTTAAAACACAGTTATCAGATACAAGCTGGGCCTTCGTCACATTCTCTTAATTTTTGTTTTGATGCAGATGTGACGTCATCGATCGACGTTATTGAAACCCTCTGACAAAAATCAATAATTTAACCTTATGATGAAAAAGAGAATGCTTTGTTAATCATTATGACCCCAGAATGCTTTTCTATATGATTTTTTAATTTTTTCTACTGTATGCAGGGTTATTTTCGCCCCCGTGTTATTTTCGCCCTTTTGCACTTGCAAACATTTTTGCCCGTTTTAAATTCGCCCATTCATAGTTCTGTTTAAGAAATTATGCTATGTAATTTGAATTCGCACAGTTTTAAATTCGCCCAATCAAGAAGAGGGCGAAAGGGGCGAAAATAAAACGGGGGCGAAAATTTCCCTGTATACAGTATTTATATTTAAAAGTTGAAATCGTTCTTGAATTTTGCTTTTTAAGAATGTTTAATCACCCAAGTGTGAAGAGTTATCGTTCTTTGTACAAATATGCAAAAATACGATAAGAAAAAATAAAAATATGACAGTTCTCTTCAATTTTTAAAAAGTTTTATTAAACAATTTATTACATTGACCAATATTAAATGTTTAAAGATATAAATCAGGAATTTAAAATTGTTCTGAATTTCTTTTTTCCCAAAAATATTATTAAAAACTGATATTTATACCTTTCATTAAACATTTCATATATATACTTTTCAACACACTACATAAATGTAGGAGAGCTTACACTACACGAGTGTGAAAGAGCAATTGCATTCATAGTAGAAGCAATTGCATCTGTAGTCCTAGGGACGCAATTGCTGACTACATGTTCATAGTGGGAGAGAGCAGTGGATATGCAAATATATTCGTATATTTCCTGTTTGAAGTAAAACATTTACATCTTACTTTTCAGATGACTGGGTAGCCTGTTACTATGATGGATGGGGCAGTGAAAATTTACGTTATTCATCAGCCGCCATAATCGTCCGCGCATGGAGTTTTTCAGAAGTTTACGAAGTAGATTCGTTTCCTTATAATTGGGCAGAATATCTCTCTGGAATTTTCCCAGCACCATATCCAATTGATTTGGATTATCATTTTGTCAGTGTCGAGGTATATATGAAAAATTTTGAAAATCGAGTGACTGAACAATTCTGACTTAGTTCAATTGTATTTTAAAAATTCAAACTGTAATTTGAATATGCTAGGGATAGGGGAGGAACATTTTGATTGTGGATTACCAATTTAATTTAGATTTCAAATAATTACCTTCTGGAATTATAATGGCCACAATAAGAATAACAAGCTAACTAAGATAATCTGTGTCCCAAGCTTAATGAAAAAAGAGCATGCGCACGTATGAAGGAAGAGGGTGACACTTGAAAGGGAACTGACGTCATCGAACGTCATGGTATAAAAGTTCATTGCAAAGGCTTAAAAGCTTCGCTCGAAGGATTCGCTAGAAAACAAAAACTTTTACTCGCAAACAAAATTATTTTATTTAAAACTTATACTTTGACCTTTGACATTTTGACCCGAAGCCTTTTTTGGTCATAGAAAATTGTAATATAAAATTTCATCGAGCAAGCCCACGGGCTTTGACTTAATGACCTCAAAATAAAAAAAGGTGCCTTCCATAGGCCATAGGAAGTTGATATGTATTTAATTGTAAAAGCTCAAAGGCCTCTTGAGATATCAAGTGTAAGGGAAAGTGTTACAAACATACAGAAAGACAGACTGGAGGGCGGACGGACATGCAGACCCAAAAATAGCAGTAACCTTCAGTGAAAGCGGAGGAAAATATTTCTGAGTGGTAGGATATTGGTGTAAAAACTTTTTTGAGAAAACTTCCAATCAAGATCCACCTGGTCAAAGATTAAGTGCACCATGAGCATCCCGACCTCTTTTTCTTAAGAAAAATGTCTCCGACATACCAACCCAAATTTGCATTGTAAGTCCTGTGAGGGCATACAATTTTTTTAAAAATGGACTGAAGTGAAAATATCATATTTATTAAAATGCGATTTATTATGTATGCTTTGGACCACAAATTAGGGGTTGATAATTGTTACAAACCTTGTTTGAAACTTGATACTTCTTTCCACCATCGATATCCTCAAAAGGTATTTAAGAGATAAATACATGTATGCAAAGTAAATCGAAATACTTGAAATATTATTTAATCAAAAAAACTAAGTTACTTTAATTGATATTGAAATTTCCATAACAGGTTAAAAGTTTGTCTGTCACTAATGGTAGGATGTTTTACGGAGCTGGGTCTGCAAGTGTTGGCAATTCTTCAGAAAGCCTCGGGGGAATTGTATACGGATACACAGAGTCTGAAATACTATTATGGACACCAACTAGTACAAATAGTCACTTAATCTACATTGATGGCGTTTGGGGAGATGGAAGTGATAATCTACAGGAAGACAGCGTGCAAATAACAATTAAGATCATCAATGCTGATATTTCAGGTATCGCTCAAATGGAGGGGTACTGCGTCCACACCCACACAATTAACACCCTTCTGAAATTGTGCCCTTCTCTGTGATCCACTTGGTATGGATTATCAGACGTAATACGAGCAAGCTATATGTTTATTGCGAACAAGGTCATCAAATAGACCATAGAATTTGCAGAAATGTGACCTTAAAGAAGGTTTTGGAAAGCCTTGTAATATCATATTATTTGTCAGAAGCTTGCCTGAGTTTAAGAATTCATCTTATTCAGAACAAAGTTACGCGTTTCGAATCAGGTGGAAGACATATGATGCTAATGAAATAACACAATATAAGAAACCCTGGTGTTGACAAGGAAAGAGCTGAGGTTTTTTGGTTTGTCGTACAGTTTGGTTCTTAGTTGTCCATAACTGATGTCTTTCAATCTATTTTAAGTGATAAATTTTGTTTCATGATAAACCACATACACGTACATGTATTGAGTACATAAAAACACAAATCGGATACATTTAGACTCTTTCAAATTGAAAACAAAGAAACATGAAATTAGATATTTATCAACTTAACTATTATGCACTTAATTCTAATTCTTTAACTATCACTAGTACTTTAATTGCTGCAATAATTGAAATGATCAGTGTCAGATCTAGATGAACATACTTTTGAAATATTCTAGAATGTGCACCGCCATCAGACATTACTAACACTGTAAAGGTGTATAATGGGTTACGCAGAGGAAGTCTGACGTCATACTCTTGTTTGGAGGGATTCGTGAGTAATGGTGGACTTAGCGTCACGTCATGTAACGGAACACACTGGCTGGAAACTAATATGACATGTTCTATTTCCAGTAAGTTAATTCCATAAAACTTCATCTGAAATAAAAAATAAAAACATTTATTCAGCACTAATATAAATTAGAAAATACAATTTTCATTCAGAGGAAGAGATTTGAAAACCTTTAACAGTATGTCAATCATTTTTTTCAAAGTTACCGTAAATCCGTTTCAATTTTCAAAAAAATATGGTTCTTTGATGTTTTAAACAATATTTTTTCTTCTGTTTCGTATTTTTATGAATATTATGATACAGTTCTGCAGCTACATTTGAAGCAATGTTTATGAAGTGGAGAAATGATTATTCCGATTTTGTTTTACAGTTTTGATAAAAAAAATATCCCAATATCTACAACCACACTGGTTTAACAACATCATCTTTTCCAGCTGCAGTACCAGACCCTCCGACAATTGCTAATGCAGATATTCTGGTGAGTGGTAACATTGCTCAGTATGCATGTCGAACAGGATTTTATGCAGACATGGGAGAAAACATTATTCTATATAATGGTGCAGCTGGTTGGACCTCAACTAACCTGGAATGCAAACAAGGTGATTCCTAATTTTAAAAATTAAAATATGCGAACGAGCGCCCCGACACCACACCGCACCGCCCCCAAAATATAAAACTTTAGATGCTTAATTTATGCAAAGAAATAATCAACGATATTCAACATGATTCTTAATTTTTTTAATGAACTTATGATTTTCCTCAATAATAAAAACACATGTTTCAAAAGGATAAATAAACAAAGGAAATTAAGAACGACCTATCTAGCATAACCAAACACCAACACCATATTATTTTCAGTTTCACATTTTCAATTTGATTATTGACAACAGTTCACATATATAAACACCCAGATAGTACAGTTATGTGTACTCTTGATGCTTTTGATTTGTACTCTTGAATTTGATTAACTTTATATGGCGAATTAATTAAATATCATTAATTACTTTAAATGTTCAGCAATAGTACTGATATTTCACATTACAAATGTACATGTATGTACGTAAGTACAAAATTACCTTACACCCAAATATTCACAGGGAAAAGAAACCAAAACACCCCCCCCCCCCCAAAAAAAAATCAGAATGTGTTTGTGAAACACAGATTCTCCCAAATGGCAAGAGCTTAAGTTTCTAAAACACAATTAAAATTTAAGATGAAGAAAATGAAAGTCTCTTAATGAAACATATGGAGATAACAAACAGTATTCAAGATGAAAGTCCATAAAACAATATATACAAAACAGGAGCAGAGCAAACACGGACCTCCAAAGGTGGGATTACGTGCCATGGAGGAGTGAGTATTCCCTGCTGACTTGTCACACCCGCCTTCTGCTCATTGTCCTGATCGGGATATAACGAAAAAAAACTGTTGCCAATTCGATGTGTAAATAATGGACTAACGATTGGTATGAAAAACGTCAGTCAGTATTTGACTCAATGATAAATTGTATTTGCTGACAAGGTCATTGTACCGACCATAGAACTTCGAAATGAAAGAATTAAAGGACTCTTTCAATCAAAAATTCAATGAATTGTGGTCGTCCCCTTTTTATGTCATAGTAGATTGGCGTCACACCATTATTTATGTTATAAGGTGTCAAATTTGGACACATGATCATATGTAATTCAAAAGTAAATTTAAATTGCTATGAAAAATAGGTCAAACATGGAGGTCAAGAGGTAAAAAATCATGGTATATATGTTCAGACACATCTTGTTAAAGGTGATGTACATGTCAAATATGAAAGTCCAATCACTTCTCAACCAAAAGTTATAGAGAAATATAATATTTTTGAAAAGTCCTATCTTTTCTCTTTCGAAAGTTCTATAAGTAATGAAAATAATTTTGAAAAATAGGGCAAACTTCAAAATCAAGGAGAGGGGGGGGGGGTAAAAATTCTAGTATACGTGAAAAGGTCTTGTTACTGGTATTGAATATACAGTGGCTGCAAGGTTATTGTTAACAACTTACACGAACGATCACGTCACACGAAGGATTCCTCATAATCAACGCACGCGTGTTTGATGAAACCTGTTACTCAAACGATCCCTCACGCTCAAGATTCTACACGTTACACGATCTTACACGATTGCTAACGCAAACGCACGATTCTTCACGAAAAGTTGTTTAAAATATTAAGGAACATTTTTTTCAAAACGAAATAAGGCTTTCATTTATCATGTTTATAAACGATTTAAAATAATTATTAATGGATATTTCAGGAACTAAATACACGTAAGATTTATTGACTATGAATAATTGTTTACGTAATTGTCCGACTTAAGAAATATGGACAGATTTTTTTTATCAGAAGACAAACATGTAAATTGAAGGTTTTTACAATGCTTGGATCTGTAGCTGCCCGCTTTATCTGTCCAAATTTTTTAATGCCAAAAAATAATAAGGTACATGTAATTAATTAAATAAGAAGAATGTCTTTTTCAGCGTCGAAAATATCAGGCGGGAATTCAAACACCAGTGTAATATCAAAAGAAGAAATTATTCGCAATTTGAAAATTCCAAAAAGAAACACAAGCTCTTACGACAGAAGCTTGAGATGTGCCTATGATCCGCGCCCCAGTTCACTGACAATCGGAAGTGTTGGTGTCGCCATCTTATGTCTGGTTGCTGCACTACTGTTCATCGCTGATTGTCACACTGTTCTCCAGCGTATTAATGAAGCAAAGCACACAAAGAATTAATGTTTGATAACACTTAATTTATTGAATTTGTAGATATGCTGATTATCAGTTTCCTCATACAAAAATGACGCATTTCATGCATTATTGATTAATTTAATATGAGAAAGTATTATTTATACACTGCATAAATGTATTTCTTTTCGGATATTTTATTTTTAACAGCAAACTGATGCATTTTGTTCTTTCTCTATGTCTTTTCGTTTTGGATTTTTTGTATATTTTGTTATAATTAGCGATAATAAGAAGTGTACTTAGAAGTACGTCTACTGGTAAATTTAAAGAAAATGTAGAAAAATATTTTGATGTATCAGTATTCTTTTTGACATATATGGTATAAAATTTTGATTAAATGAATTTATCTACAATGAATTGCCGTTCAATTATAATATCCTGTGTTTTTCAGAAATAGTTTCGCATGCATGTTCATAGTTATAAAACAAAAACAATAGAAGAAAATTGAAATATACGAGTGTGATGCTTAATAAGATACCATAAATAATTTTGTTTTTTTCCTAACAGAAAGTGTTTTATTTCATTCTAGTATTTCTAACAAAGAATGCATTTAAAATTTTTTTCAAATGGTGATTTTGAGTATACAACTGCCATTTGCTCACTACACATACCAACTACACCTGCATATAGATGATATTTATAATATATCATATATTATTCATTAAAATAACTATTTTGAATTTAATGGAAAACATAACAAACAAATCATCGGGTGTGCAATGGGTTCAACTGTTTCCCCAGAGGTCTCTGATGTTAGAATGTTTCAAATAACCCAATCAATCATGGCAAAGTTTCAATTTGTTAAAAAAGTCTTGTTTCATGGCAGATTTATAGATGATGGTTTCATTATTTTCAATGGTTCTGAGACTGAGATTCTCGATTTCTTTGAACTTGGCAATCAGTGTCATCTGCACTTAAAATTCATCTTTGAAATCTCTGTTGATATAGTGAACTTTTTAGACACAACAGTATATTAAGGAAGTAAATTTCAAGAATCAAACAAACTTGATATCAAATCTTACATATAACCAACAAACAACTTTCAATATCTACACCGAGAAAGTTCTTACAACCTGGCGGTATTCAAAGGTTTTATTAAAGGTGAATGTAAAAGACATATGAGAAATACCAATGACACTGAAGTTCTCAATATTATACTACAAGACTTTAAGAAACACTTGTCAAAGAGAGGCTACTCTGATACAGAAATTGATCCTATTATCACAGGCATAATTGGAACAGACAGAAATGAGATCCTAAATAAAAGTAACAGCCAATTGAAACTCCACAATAAATTGGTTATGGTTACAAAATATAATCCACGAATCAAAGGATTAAAAAGCGCATCTTAAAATACTGAATCGAAATGAAAACCGACACAAGATGCAAAGAAATAATACATCGGAACCAATAATAGCTTATAGCAAAGACAAAAGCATAGGCGATATAATTATTAGATCACGTTTACAAGGTCAAACTGCTAAGGTGGACCCCTGACGAAGCAGACCTTAGGGCAAGTACCAGTTACACCTGTACAAAAACTGCCGAAACACTCTTTACTATATTTCTATATACATTAATATTTACGAATGCTTATATTTCCAACAGAAAAGAATGTCACAAAATGCGATTTAGAGTGTAGGTCCTAATAAATTTCATGGGCAAGTTTGGCTGATTCATGTCTTTATTTTCACACCCAAAATATGTCTTATTCCTTTTGACACAGTTGCTGCCAAAATCATGAAAGGAGTTGTAAATAAGGGCAATTATTTTTTTGGTACGACTATCGTAATAATTAATCCATTACTAGTTGAAAAAAATTGTTTATTGGCCAAAATTCCATTTACAGTGATAGCACTAATTTTCGTAAATGTTCATTTTCAAACCGTGATGAGCCCCGCAGATTAATGCTTTCCACGTATGATACAATGCCATGCGAAGTTACTCAACAATTTTTCGTCCTTGAGATCAAATTTAAGGAATAAAACTTTTGACAATATGAAGATATGCGATTATACAGGATATCAAAATAAATAAATGAAAAATGCAGGCTGGAGTCGAGAGTTTTTATGCATAATTCTTACAAAAATTATAAAACTGGCGAATTTAAGAATTTTTTTAAAACTGTGCAGAGGAGAGGAGACGCTCCAACCACTGCTCTGCATGCATGTGCGCGACAATTGAATATTAAAGATGTTGATAAAACTGGTATGTATGTTTTTGATTTAAAATTTTCGTACAAGCACACAGAGATATAGTTTATACGCTAATCGTATTTTGTCATTGCAACTGAAGTGCAGAAAAAAATTGAGAAAAAGGAATGTTTCTTCCTTATCTTTATGTATTTGATGTTCCATTCAACTAATTGATACTAAAATGTTTAAGATCTTACATATCTTATAGGAAGATGGAAATCGATCTTTAAGGGTTGCCAGTTATACGGAATACGGTATTTCCTCTCACAATCCTAAAACATGTTAATAAAGTTCTCCTAGTGGAAAATTTTTGTTCTTGTTTCTTCTCACACTCTTAAAACACGTCAAAAATTCCAAGAGTAAATGTTTTTGCTTTTGAACGTTTGATGGTAATCTATTGTTAATAAAAAAAAGCTTTATGTCTGAGCAAGAGGTTCGATATTTTTATACCCCAGCTCGTAAACTGTAATCGTTATATCCGTCTGTTCGTCCGTCTGTCTGTTACACTTTGGGATACCCATCTCTTATCCGCAACTTCTCTTATACCACTGAGTGAAATTTAATGAAACTTTCACAGAATCTTTATTACATATTGTCATTGTGACCTCCTATGTTACTTTTAATCTGACACATATTTTGGGTTTCCAAGCCACAGCAAAACATAGACTTTGCCAATAAAACCATATGGGAGGCGAGGGTATCATTTAGTGAGCTCATTGCTCACAGTACCTTTAGTTTTTATTTGAGTTTTTACTGATGAATTTTTAGTAGAAGTTATGTAATTTGGTACATTGCACATTAAGGCTTTACTCTTGATTCATTTTTTGACAAGAGTACGACGTGTAAACGCTTTTTATCAATATTCAAATGAAAAATAAAAGGAGAACAATATCACGAAGCTGAAGATCTTCTGTGCTTACGAAATCGGGAACAAACTAGAGGTACTGTGAGCAATGAGCTCACTAAATGATTCCCCTCACCTCTCATATGAATATAATGCATGACTTTGTCCATATTTTGATGTGGGATACCCAAAATATGTGTCGGATCAAAAAGTAAAATACGAGGTACACAATGGCAATTTGTAGAAAAGATTCTGTGAAAGTTTCATCAAATGCATTCAGTGATATGAGAGAGGTTACGGATAAGAGATGGGTACCCCAAAGATTAACAGACGGATGGACATACCGATTACTATATACCCCCCCCCCTGCTTTTCAAGCAGGAGGGATAAAAAGAAGAAAAAGGAAAATATTATTTTGAGCTATTAAATTGAACAAATATTTTTGTTTCTGTAACTGTAGCATATACAATATTGAACCCCTGTGTCTTGGGAAAAAGTATACGCAATCAGCACTTTTACCTTAATGAGGAAAAAAATATTCAGCATGGATTTCAACTAAAAATTTTTTTTCATATATTGTCATCGTGACTTATAAATATCAACGTTGTTTTTATTATTTAAAAAGAAACAAAGACTTTAAATTAAAGCAACAGAGAATGTACTTTACAAAGTCAATTTGCCTACAGCTGTTTTTTTTTTTTTTTTTAGAAATTTAACTGTTGTACAACTTCAGCACTTAAAACATGATAAATAAACAGGCAAACATTTGGTCGACAGAAGTTCAAATAATTTGCTTTTCTCTTCAAAGGCCAATTACACAAATGTAAACGATTAATTTCAATCATTAGGAATGAAGAAAATAGAGTGGGTAAAACTGAATGGTTAGTAGATTTAAAAAATCGATTAACACAAGTTAGTATTTATTGATTTTGTATACAAGTCTTTTATTTCTTTATGTTTAAGGATAAAACTGTTATCTCGCTGGAACAGGCGAATTAAAAAAAACTTTGGAATGCAACATTGAAAGAATGCAGTCACAGTTTCTATAAAACGAGTTTTGAGTAAATATTCTGTGTTTGAACCGTCTCTAAATGGAGAAAGTCTCCCAAGACAATTCAAAGGGAAATTAACAGTGCGTATATTGGTTAAATTTCAATAAATGTTATTAAATAAGTGTTATCATTTTGATATACTTATGCTAAATATTAAATCTAACAATAGTATGTGTTCATAAGATCAAGATCTATTTATTGAGTTTAGAGTATTTTAGTATTGGCTTCATATTGACTCAAAATTAACCGATTTTAACTTAATTTTTCTTGTACTTTACTTCAGTAATAGAATTTAAGCATTTTCATGGTATTCAAGGCAAAAACTATAACAAAGTAAGTTCGCTTTCTATGTTCATGCTAATTTAATCTTGAAGAAAATATAAAAAAAAAACTGTTTTCTGAGAGAGTATAGTCGATTCAGATACATGTCCTTTTTCTGGAATTGAAAAAAGTCTAATATCTATACAAGACTTTCCTCTTTTATAACTTTAAATGAAAGTTTAAAATATATGTGTATGTTTTGTCATTAAGTTTACATATTGGGCATAATGGAGCCATGACACATTTTATCTAATCGAGATATATTTGTAAAGAATTAGATGGAATAAATTCTCATATTTCAGAAATATGTATACATCTAGATCTGGACTTTTATGTTAATTCTTAAATATGTGCCATTATGAACTATAAATATCTTAAAGGTGAAAAAGTAAAACACCAACGACTTTGCAAAGAATTTAAAAAAAAGTGGACCAGGTCTGGACAAAATCTGTGGGGTATATCCGAGTATTGAAATTCATTTTAATGCTTCATCCCAATTTCGCGCCGGATATATTCTCTTCTTGCAATTGGCATAAACATCTAAATGATGAATTTGACTGTTCAAACAATTTGCCTAAATAATTGTACACACAATACAGAACGTTTCAAAGAATTCTTAACGATGATCTCAATGTAAACAGCTTATTACCTGCTATTTAGTAAGAACTTAACATTGTATCAATTTTAGTCTTATTTACAAACGCACATTTAAATGCCGTGTTTGCGTGCGTCTAACTCTTGCAAGCTTTCTATGATAAAACGGGACTCTGGAGTTTTCATTATACATGAACTTGCAGTTATATAATTTTTAAAAATTGTTAGAAATCTTTAGGTGAAAAAAGGAATAGATGGAAAGAACAATCTTAAGATCCTACCCGTTGATAAACTTTATGATCACCATAAACAGCAATGAAATGTATTCTTCTCAAATCGTCAAATACTTTATTTGTATTAAGGTCAGTACTATTTAAATGTAGAGGTTTCACTGAACAAAAGAAAATTCTATGCTGAAAATCGAAACATGGACCTTCTAAAAACTAAGTGAATTTACATATAAGTACAGACAGATATAAGCGAGTCAGCTTCAATTAAAAAGCTAGTTTAAAACACTATCCTTGAAAATATATTGTTGTACTTAAAAGAATGTGTGTAAGACAAAGACATTCAAAGGCCTACTTTTCTGAAGATCCATTGAATCAATAGAATATATTTATTTGTCATGAATTTAATTGATAGAACTACGTGGTTAAACAGTCTACCAAGGAACAAGAAAGGCCAATATTTCTCACTTTTATTCATTACAGTCTTTAGTATCCTCATTTTTTTTTTACAAAAGGGAAATAGAAGACAAAGAAGAGAGATGATTGTGCAGATTCGGGTTATTGGATTACTAGCTTTTTTAAGTAAGTAAAGTTTGCTTTCAATATGATTTGAAGTGAAATAGTGTAAACCAACAGTTATTTCACATTTCTTTCTCTTTTTTTATAGTTTAGCTTCAGACGAGGTCAAACAATAAAACAGATATTACATAAATTACTATGTATATCGATTATTACGGCACATATACGAGGATTATTCAAAGAATGAAAAGCACAGTTAACCAACATTGTAACGTCAAATCAACGTCGAGATAGTTTCTTAATATTACTTTGCTTTTTAGTTCCATACACGGTTTGCAGCGTCTTCTACATAATAAAAAAGTGATGCACACCTCACTTTTAATGACGTTCTTTTTTGACTTTTTCAACTATATTCTGTTTCTTTGCAGACCACCCATCGTCCGATTCAAACTCGCTACCATTCAAAAATCGTATTTTCCATTTTATACAATTACACAGCTTTTTTTCACATACTTCCTGGTTTAAACAAATTAAAGTTTGTTAAAGAAGCTTCCCGAAAACAAAGCACAATTTTATTGCTACTCGCTGCTCCGTGACATACTCCAACGTAATGTTTCCCCCTTTTAAAACCAAGTTCATATATAGTTCGAAATTTATTTCTTTTATTCGAATTGATATATTACATTACCTGAATACAACAAGGCTTAATTTAAACATGTAAATTTTATTTCATTTCAGCTTCATTTATTAGAGGTATGACTATAGATACCATAAAGTGAAAATAAGTAAAGTACTCAATTTTGACGTTGCTCCGTGACCCCATTTTTGCTGTTCCAAATCTTCGTTAATTTAAAAAAAAATATGAAGACATATTCCAATATTTTTACTCATATTATTCGAATTGGTTGTTAAAATGTGTGTACCAAATTTGGACATAATATGACGTTGAATAAAATAGTTAAGACAAAAGTGTACGAAATTTTCGAATGACCCTAATATTTTAATAATACATATGTATGGTTTTAAGCAGGTATTTTACGGAATACATTTTAAACATAAATTGATTTGGACGGACGCGTACTGCTTACAACAATATTTGCTTTATAAAAACAAAAAAGCATTTTAAGTTCTAAATTTTAAATTCACAATTTCAACTGAACATCAATTATTTATGAAAAAAAGATCGACTTTTTATCTCTATCAATCTACACTCTATTATTCTACAAAAGAAAAAGACTCATTTAAAGTTAAAGCATAAACACGAACAAAAACATGCACCAAATAGCGATGCAGGGAGGGATGGGTGGGTATCAATCTGTAGCGATGCAGCATTGAACTTCGAAACACTTAATCCCACAAAAATATTAATTATACTCAGTACATGACTGGAGATACTTATGTATCTAAAAAATAGATATATGTATAAAACTAAATTAACTTACTAAGGTTTAAAATAAACTGTTGTTTTTTTTATTTCCAAAGGTTTCTGTAAGATGAACAACATCAGAAGGCCTTTTATCAGTGATTGGCATACATTATCAGTCAATGATGCAAGTCCACAAGCCGTTCCTCATACTCTGAATGAACTACCAGCAAAAGTAGACGTCCAAGTCAAAATTATCCAAAGCGGAAAGGAATACATATTTCCAGGACTTGGATCGGTTCCAAAAGATGACGATATATCTAATGAGTATGGCGGAGTGGTGTATGCTTACAACTCCTCTCACGTCCTGTTATTTATTCCTGTCATTAAATCTAGTGGGGGTGGAGGCACTGGGCGAGTACTAACTACAGGTGAGTAACTTGTAGTTATGATTTAAGGTAATGTAAAAGATGTCATATGTTCATTAGATGATATTTAACTTCACTGTGTTTTTCTACTGTGTTTTTCTACTAAGCCACCCAGTAGGGATCCGGGTTAGAATAGGTCCTCAGTACCCCCTTGCTTGTCGTAAAAGGCGATTAAATGGGGCGGTCCTTCGGATGAGACCGTATAAACCGAGGCCCCGTGTCACAGCAGGTGTGGCACGATAAAGATTCCTCCCTGCTCAAAGGCCGTAAGTGCCGAACAAAGGCCTAAATTTGCAGCCCTTCACCGGCAATGGTGACGTCTCCATATCAGTGAAATATTCTGGAGAGGGACGTTAAACAATATACAATCAATCAATCAATCTACTAAGCCAACTGTGAAATTGATTTGAATACCATTTTCGTGTATGCTCTTGCGTAGAAATATACACTGAGAAACGTGTGTTAACGTGACGTCACAATAAGACAACATGTACAACGACTTTGGTAGGAGTATAACGATATAGGGCAGCGAGAAATTCAAATATTGAGTATATATTTTGTGCTTCCAAACATGTAAAATCTAATTATAAGGACTGTTTTAAAGTTAAGTGTGAATTATTGGTGTGTGAATCACACAGACGTGCATTTAGGCATATTTTTCATGAAGCGCTAGCTTCGTTTTCACCGCGGGACGTGGAGACAAGTCATTCTGATGAGATCGTATAAGCTGAGGTTTCATGCTACAGTAGGACACAAGGTGTATGTCTTCCTGTTCAATGCCTCTCAGTACCAAGTATAGGTAAAAAATATATATTGCAGCCCTTCACGGGCAAGTGGTGGCGTCTTTATGGGGTGAAAGTTTTTTGATAGGGGCCGGTGTTCAACGATAAACAAAACATAGTACGCACGACAAGTTAGAGCCTCTTAATAACGTCATATAAACGCCATTCCGTAAAATATATCCTTGGAAATGGGTCCTCGCGCTTACTTCAATAGTAATATAATTCTGATTATGTTGAAAATTAATCCAATTTTTCTAGGTGGATCTTCATACTCCGGACCCTTTATAGGATCTTCAACAGCATGTCAAGTTCGTATAAGAGCCTGGAAACTGTCTGATTGGCCAAAACCTGATTTCAGTATTACGTCTGGATTGACAATTTCAACGGGTGTGTAGTAAACATCTCACAGCGATTAAAAATAAAAGTTTTGCAAATGTTGGCCTGCTGGAGTGTGTTTTCATATTGAAAGGTGTATATCTCATCTTATTAACTTGCCCAACTGGAGAAAGACTCGTGCAATAATTATGTCTTTAAGAACCAAAAATAATATGCATCTTACAAGAATTTCAAAAAAAAAATGGATATAGGCTATAACACATTATTAGTCACTTCTTTTTCCTTTCAACTAATTTTTTTTATGTTTTAAAATAGAATTACAGCAACAAAATTTGCCATGAAAACAACCCCCCCCCCCTTACTGCAGAACTTCAAATATGTTTGGTCAGCCCCCCCAACACACACACACATATAATAATATTCTTAATATAGTTTTGTTCATTTTCTCTCCTTTTTCAGATGATGATGATGATAATAATAATAATAATAATAATAATTTATAGTGTTGGCAAATCGGACGATTTTGAGTAACCGTTTACTCGCTCAATCTTCCGATCGAGTACCCGGTTACTTGGATGATTTATTCATATGTATCATTTATCTCATCTTTTACTCAGCAGATCTAATAAAACACAAAGTTATTGTGAATTAACTTTATTTATAAACTTAAAAAGACACGCACGCGATATCTTGAATTTTATATACATGTATAATTATAATCAAAAAATTAATTAAATCAGAAGAAAAATAAATATCTTAAATGTTTCACGCTATTTTACAATGGCGTTCATCAGCTTTACTTTTCGTATATATATGTCACGATCAAGGAGAACAATTATCTAGAAATTTGAAGTCGCAATAACTCCATTTCATATTCTTTACATTTTATAAGTATGGACACTGATGTTCTTTTAAAATACTTCAAAGCTATACATGTCCATGTCTTTGGCGGAATCTTAAATTATTTAATGAGGTAATTATAACTTGGGTCTTCAAAACTTGACGTATAACCTGCTGGCAATCAAAGCTATCAATTAAGTGTGAAAACCAATCAATCGTATCAGTGAAACAATAATCATTAAGTCTAACGGTAAAGAAAATTAGAGAAATGTTTATTTGTACGCTTATAAACAAATTAACATTTCCTTTTTTAGCTATTTACCATATAAGATGCATTTTATCCGAGTAACCGAATAGCAATTTCACTAACCGATACTCGCATCGTTCGACGGTTAACCGGTTAACCGGGTACTCGTTGCCAACACTAATAATTTATTTTAAGAGGGTAACCAGAGTAGTGCAAATCGGTAGTCTTTGTCGGGACTCTCTATTAAACAGTCAAATTTTAGTTTGACTTTGAATTTATAAAGTGATTTTTCTGTATTTCTTTTACAGCAAGTCCATACAAAAAGGTATCTCATTGTTTGGGAACATACCCAGACTTCGTGACAGTCCAGCTCGTTATTCCTGGAGGATTAGTTTCAGAGGGTCTTAGTATGTATTCAGATAAAAAAGACAAGGAGAGCTGTTATAAATGTTTTATATTTCTTTCATTACAAGTTTTTGCTTTGATTTATTCATACTTAAGATTAACTGCATATGAAATTAAACACTTTTGAACATATATCAAAAATCATGCAGATTGTTATTTATTTTGTTGTTTTTTTCTGTTCAACATGTACAACACCAATTACGGTTGACCACTCAGCTAAGATCAGTGTATGCGGAACAGTATTTGGAATAGACGACACAGCAATCACATTGTGGGGAGCAAGCAAATACTGTGAGTAAAAGCATGAGTAAAAGTGATATTGTGTACGTTATGTCTTTAAATTTTCAATTTTTGTAAAACGGACATTTTTTGTGAAATAATATATATCAGTAGTACTAAGATTTTCATTGGGATATGACATGAATTTAGTCACATAAACAAATGGCATATCATCTCTAGATCGCTCGGTTGTTATCGAAAGATCATGGCTTCAAACCTCTGTATAACTGACAAAATTCGATAAAAAGAGAATCAATTGTTATTTTGCTAAGATCCGAAAACTTTGATTTGCTTAAACTTTAAAGATGCATGTGTTTCGGTTGAGAATCTATTGAAATATCGTACGTTCTGTTTTACGTCACACGTTCGTATGATAAAGAACCCGAAATGTTACATGACTCTGAGCCGAATAAAAGTTTTTGGAAATTAAAAGCCCTTCAATGCTATACACATGTAGTGACGTATTGATATAAGTAAAAAAAAATCTCAAACGGGATGTAAATCAACATGCAAGACTATTTTTTTATAACCTTCCAGAGAAAAATGCAATAGACTTAAGGTATATGCATTTTCACATTTTTGATGAAATGCTTTGAAACTCATTATATGAGGATATATTAAATGTGGTGATAATATGACACTGTCAATTTAGCAAGAACTCACGCGTATGCACGTGGGCTTCGCTCTGATTGGCTGACACAAAAATCTCAATATCTTTTCTAGTCTTTGACGAAATGCTTTGATATTTTACACATAGTCATGCATTAGGATGTCCTATAGTACGATATATAACAATTGTCATAATAACATGCACATGCATGTGCGCTGTGATCTGATTTGCTTAAACTTTAAATGGAATCTAGAAGCTATCTAGAAGGCACGAATTATAAGAATTCCATATAAGAAGTAAACCCCTTCATTGCCCGATTCCCACCCCTCTTGATTAAGAGTCCCTATTTAAGAGTCCCGTCTTTGTTCTGCTCCTCATATTTATTGTTTAAATGGACTTTAGACCCTAAAAACTATTCTCAATCTCTATATATTTGATAATAAAATAGTTCACAGAAATAAATTCAGTTTTAAAAGATATTTAATTTTATACATCTCCACCCCGATGAATACATTATAGTACGCTGTAAAGGAGCAACTGGCTCAGACGTTGAGCCTGTATGTAATGTTCTGTGAACTGAGTCTGCCTTTCTTCTACTTTCAAAATAAATTTTGTGCTTTGATTTTTCTTCTTGTAAGATTTCATTCTGAGGCATGGATTCAATTGATCACATAATGCATATCTCACTTCATTTTGATAAAATTCGGTCAGTAGCGATATCGCAACAACTTATTTAGCTTGGAGAGTATCATCCTACAGTTTTTTTTCCGATTCTTTAATCTGTAGTTGACTACGTGACGTGTTATAGAGACGGATGGGGGACCTTTACTGATATCATTCCCTCCACTGTTGACGTCATCATCCGAGCCTGGACACTTTCGTCTTCAGATATAGTCGACATAAACACATTTGTTTACGCCAAAGGTGACGTCATATCCGCAGCAGGAGCAATATCTATGACGAACGCAATTGACCTAGACTTGAACATAGTCAATGTTGAGGTAAAATATAATGTTATCGTTTATTTGGCTTATGATTCACACAAGTTTGTTAATTATCTCGTATGGCTGACCTGTAGCATAAATCAGTCAGCTTACCTTTTTTGAATGAATTTAATAATAAAGACTTCACAAACCGTTTCAGATCAGAGACACAACAGTTAGCAAAGGGAAAGTTTTTTACGGAGCCGGATCTGCCAATATGGGAAACTCAGGGGAGTCCTATGGGGGCGTGGTTTTTGGTTACACACAATCAGATGTTCTTTTATGGACACCCAGCACTAGTGTGACTGGGGGAAATCTTATCTACATTGGTGGCTTGTGGGGAGATGGTACAGAGAATTTGCAGAGCAACAATGTTCAGATAACAGTGAAAGTTATTAAGGCTGGATTTACAGGTCAGCACTTTTATTTAGAATTAAACTATATCTTCAATAAAATGTCATTATTAATGATTGCCATATACGTCCAATGACTTTATATTTCATTTATTTCGAAAGTTATACTTATAAACATTTTAAGGCAAATAACAAATATTAACAAAGTCTCATATCTTAAAATCCCCAATAAAACATTCTTTTGAAAAAATATATATTTAAAATAAAATTATCCTTTCCTTACAGAATGCCCATTGCCTCAAAATATTCCAAATACAATTAAAGTTTATAATGGAGTGATAGCCGGAAGTAAGACGTTATATGCTTGTACACCAGGATTTTCCAGTAATGGAGGTTCTGTTGAGAGTTGGTGCAATGGAATATCATGGTCTGATACCACTTTAGCCTGTTCAGGTTTGTAGTAACAACTTCTCTGATCATGAGAAGTTACAAATATTTTAAACTTTATCTAAACATTGTTAGGAGAAAGATTTATCTTAATATTTCCATTTCTAAATTTTTTCTCTATGATAACCCTTTGAAAGTAAGCGGAGTTGATTTCCTGATAATTCTGCCGGAATGTAAATTAGGCAGGTCGATAGGTCAGGCTAAGGAGGCCTAGTATGCATGCAAATCTTGTGCGCATCTGTCTCTGAGTCTGACGCTAAGGAGGCCAAATATGCATGAAAATTTCGTGCTGCTGCCGTTGTGTTCGGCGAGGCCTATTAAAATTGGGATGGGAATCCTCGTGTAATTTAAATCTATGTCTGCAATCTACAATTTTATTTCACAATGAAATGGAAATATAAGGAATCACTGTCTAGTTAGTATAGTATGCCAGGGACATCAACAATAGTGGGAAACATGGGATAATTTATGCATAACGGGCTTCGCCCGTTATGCAAATTATCCCATGTTTCCCACTATTGTTGATGCCCTGGCATACTATACTAACTAGACAGTGATTCCTTAAATATACTCTGATAGGAGAAATTATTAACTTTTAATGACATTAATTTCTATTTTATCTTCATAAATTTTTCATTTGAAGTGTCTTTCTGTTCAATTTTATCCAGCAAACTATGGTGCATGATTGTATAATTATTATATTTTACTTAACAAATACATTTCGTTGGGAATTCATAAGGGTTAAGGAAACATTTGATATAAGTAAGTAAGGTTAATAAACTAAAATTATGAAATACAGATTGTTAATAGTGTAGGACAGATTCCAAATACAGTCTGAAACGAAGGCTTGTCCTGATATGTGTAGTTTGGTCATTAACGTTTCATCAATTAAAGGTGATAAACAGTCACGAACAATTAAAAATTACGAGATATTTTATAAATTTGAACTTGTCTTAACCTTTTTAGCTCACCTGAGCCAAAGGCCCTTATTCAATCGAAAATTGGGAATTAATGAAAATTTGGTGACATGTTTTAAAAATCTTCTTCTCAAGAACAACTGTGCCAGGAAAGATGAAACTAATAGGGAAAAATCCTCAGGTAGGGTGGAGTCAAGTTTGTTCACATCTTGACCCCCGGGGTAGGGCGGGGCCAAAATGGCAGACCAAAATTAACATAGAAATATAAAGGAATATTCTTTAGAAATCTTCTTCTCAAGAATGAAAAATCCATAATTCATCATATTTATATGGAAGCATCCTCAGGTAGTGTAACGTCAAGTTTGTTCAAGTCTTATTCATCATATTAATACGGAAGCATCCTCGGGTAGTTTAGATTCAATTTTTTTTTCAAATCATGACCTTTAGGGGTCGGGCAGGGCCAAGAGGGCCGACCAAAGATTAACAAAGAAATATATAGGAAAATTCTTTAAAAATCTTCTTCTCACGAATGACAAGGCCAAAATTCATCTTATTATACCTCATTATTAATATTCTACACAACGCGTTATCTGATTGGTTCTAGGTTATCACGTGATCGGGCCGTAAAACTTCATATTTCCCGTCGTCGGCACGCTTTTCATCATATTCAACCTCTTCAGAACACCTAGTGAATTTTCCCGCAATTTAGTTCTCGTTCGTTGAACGAAAACTATCGAGAGTAGTAGACGTCACAATAGCCTGGTTTACGTCACAAAACTGATGACAATGTGTTGACCAAAGGGTTTTATAGTAACTATGCGTTAACAATGGTGTAAATTATAGAGAGCGGTGCCGAATTTGAAAGTTTATGTTTATTTCAAAGGTTTTGCTTGTTTCGGTATAATAAACAATTCATTGCATGAATGTTCGGTAAACATGAAGACTTATTCAGCCAAGAAATATCATATTATATATGATTTTACTTGGCTAAAAAAGTTTTCATATTTCCCTCACTTTCATGCAATAAATGTATAATATTTATATGAATGCATCCTCAGGTAGAGTAGATTCATGTTTGTTCAAATCATGACCCCTTGGGGTAGGGCGGGGCCAAAATTGCCGACCAAAATTTTACATAGAAATATATCGGAAAATTCTTAAAAAATCTTCTCCTCAAGAATGACAAATCCATAATTCATCATATTTATATGGAAGCTTCCTCAGGTAGTGTAGATTCAATTTTTTTCAAATCATGTCCCCCGGGAGTCGGGCAGGAGCAAAATGGCCCACCAAAGATTTACATAGAAATATATTGGAAAATTCTTTAAAAATCTTCTACTCACGAATGACAAGGTCATAATTAATCATATTTATATGGAAAAAATCCTCAGGTAGTGTAGATTCAAATTTGTTCAAATCATGACTCCCGGGGGTAGTGCGAGGCCTAGATGGCCGACCAAAGTTTTACATTGAACTATAAAGGAAAATTCTTTAAAAATCTTCTCTCCAAGAATATCAAGGCCATAATTCATCATATTTATATGGAAGCATCCTCAGGTAGTGTAGATTCAATTTTTTTCAAATGATGACCCCCGGGGGTCGGGCAGGGCCAAGCTGGCCGACCAAAGATTTACATATAAATATATAGGAAAATTCTTTAAAAATCTTTTTCTCACGAGTGACAAAGCCATAATTCATCATATTGATATGGAAGCATCCCCAGGTAGTGTAAATTCAATTTTTTCTTATCATGACCCCCGGGGGTCGGGCAGGGCCAATATGGCCGACCAAAGTTTTACACGGAAATACAGCTGTGTAAAGGATAATTCTTTAAAAATCTTCTTCTCACGAATGACAAGGTCATAATTCATCATATTGATATGGAAGCATCCCAAGGTAGTGTAGAGTCAAGTTTGTTCAAATCATGACCCCCGGGGGTCGGGCAGGGCCAAGATGGCCGACCAAAGTTTTACATAGATACAGTACCGACCAGACCCAACCTGACACAAAGCAGTCCTAGAGCAGTCCCGGGGACTGCTTTCTGGAACTGCTAAAGCAGTCCCGCAGCGGTCCCAGAGCAGTCCCACAGCAGTCCCAGAGCGGTCCCAGCAGTCCCAGCGGTCCCAGAAAGCAGTCCCAGCAGTCCCAAAAAGCAGTCCCAGTAGGCGGGGTTTATCAATTTCATGGGCGGGGCTTACTCAGAAATGAGATCTCCAATAAACAATGGAACTATAAAAGGCAGCTGATTTTTTTTCTGAGCAGTATGCCAGGAATCCTTTCAATGCAAAGGTTATTTACATGTATGAGCAGTACCCGCAGAGATTTGAAACAATTTGAAATAATATTTATTGAAGAAAAAAAGCTTACACACCTACATAAATGAATTACACTGAACATGAATATTTAATCACAATAATTTTGGGGGTTTTTTTGTGATTGATACTGGCTCCCATATTTATTTTCTATACAGAAAATTAAAATTGAATTAATAATATTTCACCAGAATTAGTTTTCAATAGATCTAATCATTATAGATCATGGCCGATTTCCACACTATCAGGATACGCTAAAGACATTTTTTTAAAAGTATTAGGGCTTTTAAAAAATTCGTTGCTAATGTTGCCAAGTAATATTTTTCAGCATTGATTATTCTTTACGGACATGTTAATTTAAAAATTATTGTTCTATTTGTAAATTGTATTAGTGACCAGTATAGAATCCTAAGATTATGTTCAACATTAATTAATCTTGAAAGAAATTTATACACATTTCATTTATCTTTTTTTTTTGCATTACATTTTTTACATAGATTGAAATTAGGGTCATTGTTAATTAAGCAGCATATGTTCAATGATGTGTAACACTGATAAGTGTACCCAAATAACATGCATGATTGATTTTCTGCCCAAAGGCGATTGAAACTGCAGGTATTTTTACCATTTTATTTATACACATTATCGCCAGGTAAACAAAAGCAAAACAAAAAATAAATAAATCACAATTCCCGGTATTTCCAACTGTTCATTTATTTTTTTAAAAGTACTCTTTTAATAACTTATTTATAAATTAAAAACTAATTCATCTGTTGATTCCCGTATAATTATTCACATTGCTTATGTTACGGAAGAATGGTGGCATGATTTTATTTCATGTCATAAAATAAATTGTTAGATTTTATTTGAGGGTTGCATGTAATTCTCTTTTAGCGTGGTGCTTGTAAAACGTGTAGCCTTTTTCAATTAAAATATCTTATATCTAAATGTAAGGATTTTTAAAATAGTGCCAAATGAAAATTTTGAGTATTTAATTTTAGATTTAATAATAAAATAAATCTACATGTAGATATTTTTTCTCGTGAGCCTGTAGTCTTATATATTTTAGAAATAAAAATCTCCTTCTGACTTCCTTATTTAACAACTTTATTTTTAAAAATATTCTATATTACATATGTGTAAATATGCAGTCCCTAAAACTATATATGTAAATTAACTATAATACATGTAATCTCAAGTTATTAAAAGATTATGACAAATCCTTGCTTATTAAAAAGTTTAAACTCCTCTCTGCTGCAAGTAAACAAAACAACAGGGAGCCTGCAAATTCAGAATACAGAAGGGGGCAGAGCTATCATGTCACTCAGAACCTTTGTCACACATGAGTGAACAAAGCAGTCCCAGGGGCAGCTGGGACTGCTGGGACTGCTATTCATAGCAGTCCCAGAGCAGTCCCATAGCGGTCCCAGAGCAGTCCCACAGCAGTCCCAGAGCGGTCCCAAAGCAGTCCCAGGGACTGCTTTCTGGGACTGCTTTGGTGTCAGGTTGGGTCTGGTCGGTACTGTATATGTAGGAAAATTCTTTAAAAATCTTCTTCTCAAGAATGACAAAGCCATAATTCATCATATTTATATTGAAGCATCGTCAGGTAGTGTAGAGTCAAGTTTGTTCAAATCAGGACCCCTGGGGGTAAAGTTGGGTTACAATGACCGACTAAATTTTAACCTAGAATTATTT